TTTTTTTTTTTGCGGAACTGGAGATTTAACTCAGACCCTTGCATTTGCTAGGGAAGTGCTTATTACATTGAGCCATCTCCCCATCCCTAAAGCATTCATATTGATTTTTCCAATGTCACAAGGTAGCGAACTAACAAAATCCCCTTTCATAGATCAGAAAGCAAAAAAACCTGCAAACACCCCAAATTAATATTAATAATGAGCTGGGTGTGGTGGCACACACTTATAACCCTAGCATTCAGGAGGCTGAGGAAGATCACCATGAGTTCCAAGCCAGTCTGGGCTATACAGTGAGTTAAAGACGAGTACAAACTACATAGTGAAACCCTATCTCAAAGACAAAATAATTAGCAACAAAATATGTGTAACAGGGCTGGAGAGATGGCTCAGTGGTCTAAAGCACCTATTTAGAACAAGCTTGGCAAAAGCATCAGGGACCGCGGTTCAATCCCCCAGCACCACATGCCAGCCAGCCCGCCCCCTGGTGGGCTGAGCTGGCCCCTCCCTCTCTCTCTCTCTCTCTCTCTCTCTCTCTCTCTCTCTGACTAGGTGTGGGGGTACATGCCTATAATCCTAGCCCTCAGGAGACTGAAAACAGGAGGATCACTACAGTCTGATCTGTGTAGCAAGAACCTGTAGACTCTGTAACTAAATACAAAAGAAAAGGAAAAGGAAAAGAAGTCTAGAGGCAATAGCGGGGTTTGATACCACAGCCCTGTAATTCTAGCACTTGGTATGGTCTTCATGCACTGAAGACCAACCCAAGACCCTGTATCAAGAAACCAAAAAACAAACAAAAGACAAAACTAAAAAGAAGCCGGAGAGATGGCTCAAGCGCTTCCCTGGCAAGTGCAAGGGCCTGAGTTCAATCCCTGGTTCTGCAAAAAAAAAAAAAAAAGAAATCTTGTCAAAAAAAAAACAAAAAAAAAACCTAAAACTAAAAAGAAATATCCAGGGACCAGGGAAATAGCTCAGTGGCATAAGTGCCTGCCTCACAAGCACAAAGTTCCCAAGTTCAATACCCCATTAAACACACCCCCAAAAGAAACATCCAGGCAGTAATGTTTGGCTACTTTGGTTGGGACAGATATCCCTCAGTGATAGAGTCCTCTCCTAACATACACAGTAACCTGGGTTCAGTTCTTAGCACTTAAAAACAAATAAACCCAGAAAATGAGTAACTAACACCTTTCTCTGTGGTTTTTGGTGTTTTGTTTTTGTTTTTGGGTTTGTTTTCTTTTTGGTACCAGGAATCAAACTCAGGATCATTCACTTGCCAGGCAGGCACTTGTGTGTGGTTTGATGTTTTGTTTTGTTTTGAGATAGGGTCTTGCTAAGCAGTTCAGACTGCCCTTGAACTTGCTATGTAGCCCAGGTTGTCCTCAAGCTCATGACAATCCTCCTGCTTGAACCTCACAAGTGCTAGGATTACAGGTGTGTGCTACCATACCCAGCTATAACTAGCCCCTTTCTGATCTGTAATGCCTTTCTCTACCAGAATCTAAACCCTGTGCTAGTAAGAGGCAATAGTACCCTGGCACTAATCCCCACAGCCCAAAATACTTCCTCCATAACAGGCAGCAATAGGAAGTAGCCCCATGGACCATTACTACACAAACAGCTTCTATGTCATACCGCATCTGGCCGCCCGTTGGCATCCTTTGGCAGCAGGTAGGGCTTCTTCTTGACCCGATTCAGATCTTCATGCAATCCATCTAGAATAAAGGCTAACAGCTCCTGAGAGTCTTGCTGCTGGTAGCCAGAAAACTGAGGAGCAAAGCGTCCCACTTGGGTCTACAACAAAAGAACTACATTAGAAGGTATAATATACAAGGAACCCGTGAAGTCAAAGGGGTAGTGTTATCAAAAATAGCTCTGCAGAGTCAGGTGAAAAATGTAGAAAATTAGATGAGGAGCCCAGTAACATCCTGGAGAACTTAACAGCACCAAAGGTGTTCCCAGAGGGGAGCCTCTGAGAGCAAGGACATGGAAGGACCAGAGCCTAGGCCAGAACCCCAAAAGGGCAGAAGCAGCACACTGATAGACACAGGGATGATATGAAACACATCACCAATACTTTTAAATTTTTTTAAAAAATGTATGTGGTACAGAGTTCACTACACAGCTTGCACTTGTAGTGTTCCTCCTGTTTTCAGCTTCCCCAGCGCTAGAATTACAGACATTTGCCTGTGGTACCGAGGATCAAACCCTGGTCCCTGTACTTGCTTAAGTACTTAGTCTGCTGAGCTATCTTGCCGGCCTGCCTCCAATATTCTTCATCTGTTCAGACAACTTTAAAAATGCTATTTAGGGCTGGTGAGATGGCTCAGTGGTCTAAAGCACCTACTTAGAACAAGCTTAGCAAAGCACAGGGACCGCGGTTCAATCCCCCAGCATCACATG